CCCCCCCCCTTAATTTCCTTTTTTTTGTCACCTCAAAAAGTGTTATTGCATTTGAAGTCATCTAAAAAAATGTTATTCCATCGGAAGTCATCTCAAAAAGTGTTATTGCGTTGGAAGTGGTTGCCTCTAAAAGTGTTATTGCATTTCAAGTTGCCTCAGAAAGTGTTATTGCATCGGAAGTCGTTGCCTCAAAGAACGTTATTCCATCGAAAGTCATCTCAAAATGTTTTATTGCATTGGAAGTCACCTAAAAAAATGTTACATTGAAAGTCGTTGCCTCAAAAAATGTTTTTACATTGAAAGTCGTCGCCTCTAAAAATGTTATTCCATCGAAAGTCATCTCAAAAAGTTTTATTGCATTGGAAGTCACCTAAAAAAATGTTGTTACATTGAAAGTCGTTGCCTCAAAAAATGTTTTTACATTGAAAGTCGTTGCCTCAAAAAATGTTTTTACATTGAAAGTCGTCGCCTCAAAAAGCGTTATTGCATTAGAAGTAGTTGCCTCAAAAATGTTATTGCATTGGAAGTAGTTGCCTCAAAAAATGTTATTCCATCGAAAGTCATCTCAAAAAGTTTTATTGCATAGGAAGTCACCTAAAAAAATGTTACATTGAAAGTCGTTGCCTCAAAAAGTGTTGTTACATTGAAAGTCGTTGCCTCAAAAAATGTTATTGCATCGGAAGTCATCCCAAAAAGTTTTATTGCATTGGAAGTCACCTAAAAAAATGTTATTGCATTAGAAGTCATTGCCTCAAAAAATGTTGTTACATTGAAAGTCGTTGCCTCAAAAAAATGTTGTTACATTGAAAGTCGTTGCCTCAAAAAAATGTTGTTACATTGAAAGTCGTTGCCTCAAAAAAAATGTTGTTACATTGAAAGTCGTTGCCTCAAAAAATGTTGTTACATTGGAAGTCGTTGCCTCAAAAAATGTTGTTACATTGAAAGTCGTTGCCTCAAAAAAATGTTGTTACAATGAAAGTCGTTGCCTCAAAAAAATGTTGTTACATTGAAAGTCGTTGCCTCAAAAAAATGTTGTTACTTTGAAAGTCGTTGCCTCAAAAAAATGTTGTTACATTGGAAGTCGTTGCCTCAAAAAGTGTTATTGCATTAGAAGTTGTTACCTCGAAGTGCATTGTAATTTGGTCAGTTTGAAGGCATTGGGCCATCTAGTGAGAAGCTAGGGCCCGGGGTGTGTGATTGTTGATAGAATATGAACTTCTTCTTGGTTCCCACACTGTCTTAATCTGTTCTAAGCAAGTGGGTGGTTGATGGGTGCTGTGCTGTGGTTTGCTCCTTCTTTCTTGTCGAACATCTATCACCCTCATCTCTCCTCTTTTTTTGCGTATGGTACTCTCTTGTAACACCTCTAATCTTCCTTTTTGTGTTGCAAGTGCTGTAAAACTCTAACTAAAACTATAAAAGTTTCAAGTTAAATGTGGCTGTTGTTGTCCTAATGGAATGTAGCTATGTATAGCATCACCAGTGACCTATTTTTGATGTCTTTTATCGTCCATAGGACAGTTCGAAGGCATTGAGCCATCTGCTCAGAAACTGACGCACCTGACGGCGAACAGAGCCAAGGGACCGAAGAAGCGACCGCCTTCCACGGTTCTTACACTTAACGTATGCATGCTTGCATGGCTTCTAATTCCCTAGCTAACATGTGCTTGTCTCCTCGTTTGATGCCTCTTTCTCTCTCTCTCTCTTCTCGTGTTAAGCCTGGAGAAGTAAACGTTATACCCTTTTTAAAAAACAGTAAATCAGGGCCTAGTTTTCCCTTCAAGTCTCCTAATTTGAGTTGTCTCCTAATTTGAGTTGTCTCCTAATTTGAGTTGTCTCCCATCTTGTTTTATGTTAAGAGAAATAGACATCATTCCTGTTTGATTTTTAGTAAAACGGTAAATCAGAGTTTTGTATTTTCATTCAAGTTATTTTTTTGTTCACCATATATATTTTCTTTTGAATATAGGTTTTATAGTATACTTTTATTAAATCAGTTTAATTTTTGTTTAAGTGTATGTCTTTTAGTAGTATGTTATGGTCTGTTCATAACAGATGATCATTCCCTCTTTACTATATTTCCGAATTGATAGTGTTAAAATTTTTCAGTTTGTGAGCAGTCAGTGTTAGATGTTTGATGTCTTAAATTTTTATTCTTTTCTTTACACGAAGAATCTCTTTTTGCGGTTATCTTTAGTTTCTTCAGGTCCCTTTAAGTGTTGTCTGTTATCTTGATGGTCATTCAGTGTGTTCGTGAGTGTGCTGGCAAGTGGGTGTGTTTGTCGGTAGATGTATCTGGTGGAGGAGACACGGGGAGTGTTCAGACGGTGGTGGCTGGAGGCTGGCGGTGTGGTGTGGTGTGGTGTGGTGTGTCCCTCCCTGCATCTTTGCTATGGTGGAGTGTGGAATGTCCGGGTGTGCTGTCTTTTCACTGTTCGCAGAATGAAGGAAGGAAGGAAGGAAGGAATGAATGACTCCAGAATAGGGGCTTGGGGTTTGAGGGGGAAAGGATAAGGAGGAAGAGTGGTATCGAGGTGAGGATGTGGATTCTTTGGAGGTTGTTGGAGGATCGTTCTAGTGCATTGGCGTACTGAGAGAATGTAACATCCTTTATGCCTCACACACTGATACAGAAACGCTCACACACATAGTCTCAGACACAGACAGACACACACACAGACAGACACACACACACACAGACAGATACACACACACACACACACACGTACACACACGCATGCACACACTCACACACACACACACACACACACACACACACACACACACACACACACACACACACACACACACTCACACACACTGTTGCTGACTCAAGAACATCACTAAGGAAGTGTGGGTGGCTGGGAGGTGGAGACGTCATGTACTAGTACTTTACGTGGGTCGGAATGTTTTCTCAGTGAAGGTGACAGTTGATGGATCCTCTTTGCTTGGGTCCTTGTGCTTCTTCTTTTTTGTTAAATGCAAGTATATATATGTCTTTTACTGTTCCATGTGAACTGTGGGGGTCCATTGTGCTGTCTTGAGATTTACTGCAAGATGATAACGTTAAGCTGGACTGTAATTTGGGCGGAGTGTGAATGAGATTGATGGGGGTTCATGTCCAAATGTTTGTTGTCTTTTACATGGGCAAGTAGATACAGACATTTTTGTCTATGTAACTTTCACACCTGTGTTAGCTGCCTCAAAAAGATTAGAAAAGAAAGTGCTCCTTCTTTCCTCTTAAACATCTATCGTCCTTATCTCTCCTCTTTCTTTTTTACGTTTGTTGTTACTCTCTTGTAACACCTCTAATCTTCGGCACTTATATGACCTTATTGTGTTGCAAGTGCCGTAAAACTCTTTACTAAACTAATAGTGTAATTGCGGAGAAAGAGCTGGATACGTAATGTGTTTCATCCTTGGTTGAGTAATGGGATTTTGAAAAAAACAATATATTGCCGCTCATCTGGTGAAAGGTATGCAAGAAAGTAATGCTCTCATTTGTAAGGAACAAAACATGCTAAAAGGATCAATGATATCTTCAAAACAAAACATATTTTTTACCTGTCTTCAGAGATAATGTGAGATCGAGAGTGATGAGTTGAGGAAAAAAAAGCAGCAAATTTCTACTTCCCAGGTCTTCCTACTCCTCTACTTTGTGTTTACAATCACGGAATTAGTTTTTCGTTAGTTCCCTTTTCCAGTGGTTTGCCGCAGCTCTCCCGATGTCCTGGGACCCTCAGCTGTGTGGTATAATTCCTGAACTTGTCGTCTTTCCTTGTTTATTAACCAGAGACACTAACTCTGTTCCGAACAATCTTGGTTGGGTTATTGTTCTTTGTGCTAACATTGTTTCTGTTAGGTTAGCTTCTCCTATGTTCCCCTCCCCTCGACTGATCCCTACGTCGGTTTCCACGATGTTGTGTGATGTTGTCTAACCTTCCCCCTTCTTCCTCACCCACTGTAGTAACATTCCATATATATGTACAAAAATACCTAATGGCTCTGGTGTATTATGTCGCACCTGGAAACATTAAGTCCCTCTGTGTAAAACCTGCAGGTATTTAATGAGCCAACTAAGCGTTGAATCGAATTCTTATTGTTTTGGTGATGTGTTAACTACATGTGCGGTCGAAATTGTCAATGACGGCCACGCGTTGTTGATTAGAAAACTGGTTGTCCTAATAGGGTGAGTGTCTTGGACAGTATCATCATATATGGCCACCCGTTATTGATTAGAAAACTGGTTGTCCTATTCGGGTGAGTGTCTTGGACAGTATCATTATTATAATATAAATTATTTTTTAATGCAAGGGGAGAAATGGAAAGAGGTGGTTAGTACAGGTGATTGTATGGGCCTTGGGGGCCGATTGAGCAGGTTGAGCTGTGTTTGCATTCACATAAAAAGGAATGAGGGTTCTTATTTCTGGCTGCGTGTCCTGCACTACGGTACTATTGAAGGCTGATGTGGCTCTCACACAGCTCCGCTGCCCGCCTCGTTCATTCCAGTTTGCCATTTCAATCCTACAGAGATGTATCATCATCGCTGCCTGTTAGCTACATACCACTATCGGTCACTTATTCTGCTTTTATTTTACCAATTGTTGCCAAGTACCGATTTGTCAGCTATTTGAGATTTGGAAAATTTAAGTAAAGTAAACACCTACCTTTCTTGAGGATACAGCTTCCTGCGCACTGGGATGCCTCTGTTTAAAAAACAATTTTTTTAAAAGATAATGGAGAATATTATAAAGTACAAGTCACAGATCAAACAGCTCTACCTCCTCAACTCACAAACATACCCGCTCTCAGCTTTATAACTATATGATAACCCTCCCCCCGCGCAAATCTGTTGTGCCCCCTTTCCTTGTGTTTGGAGACCTTTTTCCTTTATTCCAGACGGGAAGTCTATGTAGGTGCATGACGCGTGCTGTGAATATTGAGTATCATTGCACTTATATGACCTTATTATGAAGCAAGTGCCGGAAAGTTCTTACTAAAAACTAAAAGGGCTCCATTACCATGAGTTGTCCAACGTTCAGTCCATGCACCTTTTGTCTCTTTTTCATTCACCTGTTTGAGAAGTCCACACTGTAGGTCTAGTCCTGAGTGTTCAATTGTTGTTCCCCATTTCCCCGCCCCCATCTGTCTCCATGTCATAGAAAGGTATGTCATCTTTTGGAGACCGCATGTGAAAAAAAAAAAAAATCTCCTGATGGTACTTATTGTTTGAAATAAATATTTTGTTCCTAGAGAGAAAAATCGCCAAAGTAATGAACAATTTACTGTAAGTTACAGCTGCTAAAGCACTTTCCCAAGTAGAATATTTTATTTGTTGTATCTAACCCTGGGGGGTATATGGGAAATGGTTGTTTTGTACATGTAATTGATTTGGACCGATGACCGATAGAGCAGGTGCAGCTGTAGATAAGAATGGTAGGAGGAATGAAATGTGAGGCAGCGTGGTGGAATCAGGCTCTCGTCAATTTTGCGGCATGTAGAGTTATTGGTATCATCTTAAAGCTTGTTTACTTGTCTTTATTTGGATGGACAATTTTTTTATTTATATTGAATACAAGTCGAGACATTTGCGAAAGAAGGAGGTGAGGGTCACCTGTTTTAAGAGATAAAATTAGTTAGAAAATAGCCGCCAAAGATGAGTTATTTCCTTAGCTTCAGAGTCCGTGGATACTGAAAATTGACATTTTTTGTGCCTTTAATCAACGTTTTTCAGAAAATATACAAAGAAATTAGTTCTTTAATAGGCATGAAAGGGGTTGAGCCAAAAAACAAAAATTTGATAAAATTTCACAAACCTGCGGAAAAATTCAAGTTTCTTCACTTTGATTATTTTGACGAGAGCCTGATTCCACCACGCTGTCTCACAAGTCTATCTGTCATGGGACTCCTGTTTGACCCCGTTTAGTAACAGATGTTGTGCTAATGTGGTGAGTTGTGAATATTCCAGTGTGCAGGTTGGTGTACTGGGCTCTGTTGGACCCAGTCGATGACCTGTTCTTAAATTTTATTTTTATAGTACTCCTTTAGAGTTGCGATAGTATTTAGATAGTGCTTTCATTCATTCATCTGTTTTTAAATGGAAATCTAGATTTTTTTTGTGTAGCTAGATAAAACTAGACAAACCACTAGTTTTAAAAAAAAGGTATTATAGGTTGTTAAAATTTTTTTCAGTTTGTTACAAAATGCAGTTTTCAGCAGCCCCATAAATACCCAACATTTTCATTTAATGTGGGATCAGAGGCATAGAATTTTCCTTACTTCTCTGTTTTGTCTGTAGGAAGCACTGTTTAGTCGAGCTGGCCCATAACTTGTTCCTAGCTCAAGTAGCTGACACACACAGTTGTGTTACAGGCAGCAGGATGTTTTACCTTCCCAATGCTTCGTGGCTCCTCCCGTAGTAAGACTTTTGGCCTCCCCGTTCCCAACATGTGTGCAGTTTTTTTCCCATTCTGATCACTATGACTATATTGTTGTCATTTTTCGCCATTGTGCCATGCTTCTTTTTGATGTGGGTGGTTAGTGGGAGTTATGGTGTGGTCTTCTTCTTCTACTTGTTTCAAAATTGTTTGAATTTGTTGCTGGATGTTATTGCTCTGATTTGGTGTTGATTAGGACTCGCTCGTCTTCTGGCTCTGCAGCTATGTGTCATAGTTGTTACTATTTTTTGTTGTTTTTTGGACGCATTTACTGAAGTCGCAGTTGCATTTATGTAGTTTATCTTTTAAAAATGTTTATCTATACCTTCTTACACCATGAAAAAATGGTGGTTTCATGCTGTTATATGTCTGGTAAAGAGAATTCCCGTGGAAAAAGAAGCACGCGGTGTTTGTGTCAGCTTGTGGCAAAGGAAACAAGGAAGTGATTGTAGGCCTTTTAGTCTTTCATGTCATCAGAGGATGGCTAGCTCTTTATTCCCCCGCTATTCGTTGCTTGTATTGGATGTCGAAAAATGCCTTTCTTCCCAGATTTTTCTGCGAGTTGTTGCTTGTATAGGTGTCGAAAAATACCTTTCTTCCCAAAAGTTTCTGGAATTTTTGAAAACCTATATGTGTTTGGAAATGTTGGCCTCATGTACAACAGTTATTGATTGTTCCCCGTTTTGTTATATTCTCTCTGTTACACTCAGATCTATATTATATATAATTCTGGGAATGCTTTCCTTACCTTGGAGATTCCTGAATCTCTTGATTACCTTCTCAGTTGCTTCTCTCCTCTTCAAAATGCGGTCAAAATCAGTCTCGGATGTCAAATTAATGCTTATCTTGGCCTGTTATTAAATTTTTTGTCATTTTGATTTTTTTTTTCCAATAGTGATAGAGTCGTAAAAAAATTTTTGGGTGGTTGGCGGGTGCTCTGGTGTGGTTTACTCCTTCTTTCTTATCAAACACCTATCATGTTTATCTCTCCTCCTTCTTTTTTATGTTTGTTACTCTCTTGTAACACCTCTAATCTTCGGCACTTATATGGCCTTATTATGTTGCAAGTGCTGTAAAACTTACTAAAACTAAAACAAAAACATTTTGTGAGGGTTTTTTTTGTTTTTGTTTTTTTATTAGAGGAAGGCTGCTTCTAGCAACTAAAAAAAGACCTTATGTCTACTTACAATTGTTTTAGAGCAGGCCATCATCTCCTTCGTTACGCGTGTCACTGCAGGCAGTGTCCTTTGTTATGGAATAACCCTCTGGCCTTCCCATGTCTGCTTTGTACATTACTTCATCAGCTTTATGGTCTGCCTTTTTTTGACCTGCCTCGTAGACAGCAGCTTGGCGCTTAAATGACCAAAATTGTGTCGATAGTGCCGTAAAACATCTACTCTATCAATCAATTATGTAGACAGCTGCTGTGTGCCTCACTCATAAAAGTTGTCCATGGTGGTATAGATTATAGACGAGCCAGTTGGTCACTGTCATAATTTGTGCTGTTGTTATTTATTGGTTATTTTGAAATTGATCTTTAAATATCAGTTGTCATTTTGTATAGGCCAGCATCGTTGTCACTTTGTTAGGATGGAATTTGTTCTATCTTGAAAGTTGTCAATTCCGATTTTTGTTTTGTTGTTATTTTAAAAGAAATTATTTGGGGGGGGGGGGGGGGGGGTATTTCTTGTTGTCAGATTGGGTTTGGTTGGGGGAGGTTGGGGGGGGGGGGGCACTGCCAGTTCTGATCTAGAGATATTTTATTCTTAAATTTGGAGTCGCTGTACTGAAGGGATTGTATTCAGCTGTTAGTTTTATGGCATTGTTAGGTGTGATCTCTCAGAATTGTATTTTAGAGAAGGCAAGATGTACGTGTGCCATATGTTGATGAATCCTAGTTTCAGTTTTTGTTTTTGGGGTACGAATTGTTTTTTGTTTTGTTTCCATTACAGTGGCACTGTTGATAGTCTAGTATGATTCACTTCTTCTCTGTGTATTATATATATATATATTCTCTACTCACAGTGTCTTTTCTGTATATATAAACATTCTGTGCTCACTCTGACTGACTTTGTAAATACACTTCTGTAGGGTGGTTAGCGGGTGCTCTGGTGTGGATTGCTTCTTCTTTCCTATAAAACATCTATTGTCCTTATCTCCCCTTCTTCTTTTTTGTGCTTGTCACTCTAGTAACATCTCTAATCTTCTGGCGCTCATATGACAGTACACTGTTGCGAGCGCCTTAAAACCTCTACTAAAGCTAAAAACTTCTGTAGGGATAGCTTAGGCATGGGCAAGCATATCCAAGTCCCTGGCCAGATTTAATGCAATTCTGAATGTCTTGTGGGCCGAAGCAAGAGAGAATTGGATAGAATTGTTTGAAATAATCAAAAAGCGCTCATATGACCTTATGCAGTTGCGAGCGCCGCAAAACCTCTACTAAAACTTTTTTTAAACTCTTAAAAATTGAGACTATAAAATTGACGGCGTAGCATATGTCACTCAAGGGCATTTCATGAGATAATTTTAAGATAAACTATTTGCTCTAAAGGTAATGCTTCTAGCTGGTCAGGAAACTTTGTTTTAATTTTGAAGACCGACAGTTTTATTATTATTTATTATCAACTTCGCTGCAGGCCACAAATTTATTATTATGAGTGACTTGCCTGCCCAGTGTTCGGGATGCTAAGAATTAAGACAGAAATATTGGCCCAACGCTTGACAGAGAGACCCAAAACTCTATGGGGATCTGGAGGTCGACTTGCGGCGAACAGCAGCCTTGACACTAGAGACTGGGATGCCCGTTAAGAGATGAATGATAAGAAGCAGAAGAAAATGAAGAAGAAGAAGAAAAAAAAGAAGAAGAAGAAAAAAAAAAGAAGAAGAAGAAAAAGAAGAAGAAGAAGAAGACTGTGTTGACTTGTGGACTCTCAGTTTGCCCATGCCTGGTGCAGCGTGAACATTCTCACAACTTCTCTTAATGTAACTTTTGATTTGTTCTGTCTTTCTCGGACACATTGTCACACGTACGCTTTATGACCCTCTCTATCCCCCCCCCCCCCCCCCCCCCCCCCCCCCCCCCACCCCCATCCCCGTCGTGAAGGAAGGGGAGGTGAAGGAGGAAGCGCCCCCTGAACCACCGCGACCGGGCCACTCGCATCTGGCGGACAAGTCGAGTCTGTCACAGGCAGGGTCGTCAGAGAGGCCACACCCACCTCCCAGCAGCCATAAAGACAAACATGTAAGTGGCAGTTGACAGGTGGCATGCTACACGTACACACACAGGTGGCGTGCCACATGCAACACACACACACAGTGGCCGCACCCACCTCCCAGCAGCCATAAAGACAAACATATAAGTGGCAGGTGACAGGTGGCATGCTACACATACACGCACAGGTGGCGTGTCACATGCAACACACACAGGTGGCACACAACATTTTACTCAGACACACAGTGGCTACTGCAGTACTGGACTCGGTCTGCTCTCTAGCAGTAAGGGGTGATATCAGAGGTGCTGATTTTCGGGATATAATGTAAATTTGGAAGTCCAGATTTCTGAAATGATCCAGATCTTGCATGAATTCTTGATAACAAGAAGTATCAAACAATAGAATGACCCGTAAACTTTTGAATCCCCGCTCTTGCGTTTTTCCACAGCGTTTGGAAAGTTCAGAATTTTTTTTCTAAAACTTAACTTTCAATACTTTTGTGAAGCCTCTTACTGTTTGAATATTGTTGTTTTGTCAACTGTATACGTCATGGTTTTTTTTATTTGGACATAGTACAGGAAAGGATGAGTGCCTTTAGACTGTTGTTGTATTTTTTTTTATCAACTTAGTATGCTGTTATATTATGCTTTTCGTTTAGCTGATACTACTAGTCTATACACGCTCATCTAATCTGTGCTGGTGTAGGTTTGGCATATCCTCGCATTTTATTTTGTAGACATCCTTGGTACTCTTAGCCTTAGTATATTTATGGTTTAAGTTTATTTCCTTAACATGTTTTTTTACCTTTTTTTTAAAGACTAGAATGTTTCGGTGATCAGAATGAATGAGAAATGCTTATTGCAATTTTACCGGAATTATATGCCGGCCAGATCGTACACTGATAAATGGGTTTCTTTCATTAATTTTAATTGAATGTTTTCTTCTTTTAATAACTCCTCCACTTGACACAGCTACTGCAGGTTACAATGGTTTTAAAAGGGTACTTTAACCTAATATTGTCCTGGTGCTTAGTTTATTTGGGAATGGGGGGGAGGGGGGGGGAGAACTTTAAGGATTTGACACAGCTACTGCAGGT